AGAATCCGTTGACGAATGCAGAAGTTACAGGGGTGGCCCGATACCCTGTGTCACCCGGTATACTACTATGTCTTCTCGTCGTTCCATGTACATATGGTTTGAAATATTTTGAGAATCATTTTTGTTCCTTATATAGACATTTGATTATTTTTTCCACTTTCTTTCTTTTCTTAAGCCACGACAACTTGTAACTATTGTTTATTTTTGTAATCTGTGCTACTCTATTATTGGGTTTCTGACCTGTTGAGTGGCCTTAACTTGAATAAATAAATGAATAAATAAAAAAGTTGGTACTTCAGGTGTGAAATTGACAGGTCTGGAATCAATATCTGGTATACCTTGAGATAAGGAAATAGACATGCATTGAAATATGGTTGGTTGAGTTGACCAAGAAGATACTGACAGTAGTATATAGAGGAAAATCTCACTTCCAGAAAACTTGAACTATAGATTGTGCTTTCGTCACAAGAAGGCAAAACCTATACAGGAACCATAAAAATGTTGACTCGACAGGCTATAGAGGGAAGGAACCTTCTTCAGGTTGCATTTATTTCTCAGAGAGAATGAAAAATAACTTGGGACAAAAATTTCACAAGTTGATAATTGAAATTAAATGCTTACCTGAGAAAGAATCCTGGAAAGGTACAGCCTGAACGTCAAGGTTCAACTTCAAGGCTCTAGGTCCTGTAGGCTCAATGTTCCTGGACGAGACAGAGAGGAAACTTCAGTTCAGGTTCCCTGGATGGGAATCTGAGGAAACTGCGATGACGTGTCGAATTTCCAATAGGTACCTGAAAAATTTTGAGAGAGTAGATGATGTTTTCAACTTATTGATTGAGGAAAGATTAGCAAAATAGCTGTTGATAGCAACACGTTAATAAAAAGCAAATTCAATCGACAAGGCAGAGAAATTCAGGTATAGTACTTGACCTTAAGCTGAAATGAATTTATATGACTTAAACATTTGTCAATTTCACAAAAATATTATCACAAAGTGCTAATAAAATATAGGAAGAACTCCAATATCCAATGAATTGATATCGATGACCAATTATTAGACGGCTCGGTGGTCGAGAGCCTTAAGGCGCTGAGTTCGTATGGGGACTTCCACCGAGACCTAGAGGTTCGAATCCTAGTTAGGCCATGGATGTTTGTGTTTGTATGTATACCTAACCCCGCACAAGTTTCGACTTATGGGGCGTTTGGTCCTAGTGCTAGGACTAACGAGATATGCAATTGCGAAAAAAAAAATATCAACTAAGAAACCTTCAGATATGAATTGACCTCAATTAAGTCGAATGCAATTATCTCTCAAAAATCAAATTCGATCAAAAATATATTAATTAACATTTAATTCAATAGGTAATAATCAACTCTAACAAACCAAATATCTGCGATGACAAGTTATTTCACTCAAAAAATGAAGATAGATCCAGACCCATCAGATATCTTCAATTCCCACAACCTATCACTTCAACTTTTCAAGTTGGTAGTACAGATCAGAAGGACTTTGATTTTCCTATTCGTTCTTCGCGAAAGCTCCTTACAAATCAATTCCTTCTCCTGATTGGTTATTTCGTCTCCCTTCTTCAATCTTCTGTGTCGCTGTCTAGCGGGAAGGACGAGCGCGCAAGACTTGAGAAATTCGATATGGTTATTGAACCGGTGAAATGCTGATAAGCAGAAGTAGATAGAAGAACGAATGGACGTCAGATAATTAAATGACTGATTGATTGAAAAACATCTCAATGGAACGGAATAATCGTTACAGTGGAAGTTCTCATCAGACCTTTCCCTTCTTTCGCAGTAAAATGCTTGAGTTTTCATAAGAATTTCTAAGAATTATTTGGCCCATACCGAATTTTCAAACCATCTTTGTGTTAGAAGGTTGCCAGACAAGTGAATTTATTCAACTTTTGATTACAATAACTCGAGTGAGCTTCCATTAGGCTCAACTGAGTTTGCCTGGTGTATTCACTTGTTGACTTGTTGTATTTTTGATAATACAGACAACTGAGTGAGGTGTTAGTTGGGTTCTCATCAGATCAACAAAACATTTCCTCCTTAGGGACATGCTTATCTATTCTCCATTTTATATTGTTCATCTTCACTATTTGTAACATAACAATAACCATTTTTAACTTTTCCTTTGACACATGTCATGTTCTGGATGTCATATCATGCATGTCAACTTTAAATTTGCTTTTATTATTTCAGTACGTTCCATAATAATAGATTCAAGTTTTGTCACCCATCAAGTTCACTTCAATACGACATGTCGCAGTGACAATGAATGCTGAGGAAAATGTAATCTGTATTTTATCCCTTTTTTTTTTTATCGATTGGGAAATGAGTTTTGATCTGTTTGTACCAAATATACCCATAATGTCGTCGATTTTTTCAAACTGGACCAGAGATTCATTATTCCAAATTTTTTGGGATTTTCTCTTCTCGTCCCTATGAAATAAAAATATGAGAATCATTCCAATATACGTGCAGTAAGGACAAATCAGATGATTTGCCACAAAATGTCACTGCGTTTGAAGAATTTCAATATCAGAGAGCCTGAAAGAAAAATCCAGCAGCTCGTCAGTTACAATTCGTATTGAAAAAGGTAAGGAGAAGAGAAATAAAGGTATATAGGAATAATTTCGGACGTTCCGAGACCGATTTTTCTCCCGTTTTCACCATGAGATATGATTATTTTAATAGCTAAGTCGTATTTGTCTTGAAGCTCTTTAGTTTTCATTGACAATTGGTGACGTTGGCAATCAAATGAGTTACTGGATGTTTTCATCAATCAATCTCGGATTCACCATTTTCATTCTCAGATTTTAGTAGTGAATACCATGTTGTGTCTATATCACCCGAACAAGAAGCAATGCTATTGTCTCCGTTCAGATGAATGCAAGCAGATTTCTTGATTTTTCTCTTTTGTTTGTTATCTCCTTTTTCGATGATTTGAATATTATTCTAGTCTGCCATTTGTTGTCCGTCTTCATAATCATATCTTATGTTGAAAACGGGAGCAGAATCGGTCCCGAAACATCCAAAGATAAATGGAAATTTGATATTTTTTCCATATACCTTTATTTTCCTTCTTCAAACTTTTTTCAATACAAATCGTCACTGACAAGGTAGAGAAATTTTTCTCCCAGGCTCTCTGATAGGAAAATTCTTCAAACGCAGTGACATTTTGGGACAGATCATCCGATTTGTCCTTACTACACGTATATTGAAATAATATTCATATTTTTATCTAATAGAAACGAGGAGAGAAAATCCAAAAAAAATTGGAAAAATGAATGTACCACCTCCTCGATAAACCTACAGACAGTATTGGACCAGAGATATTTTCATAAACACATTTCCTCATTAACCTGACGAGTAAGTGACCTCATTTTCATTCCAATTCTCGATCTCATGATGATGTCTCCTTTCGAAACCAAGTATCGATCAACAATTAACGAGTCTCAAATTCAAATTCAACTTCTTTCGAAAGCAATTTTCATAAGGAAATCGAGAAAAAAAAATTCATCAATTATTATTAATTTTTTTTTCAATTTTTCCAATGTCCTCCATAGTTCTTCGATAGCTGGAAGCAGATTACTGATGATGACTTTACAGTCGAAAGCGCTCTGCTACGAGAATTTCAATAAATAGTTTTGGTTTCCAGGAAAATTCGTGGCATAGCATGTTTTTTTTTATTTCCAGTTCAAACTCCGTACGGACGTCACTGGTGCAAAGTTTCGACATTCTGTCATGTCACACAATGCTCCTCTGTGATGAAAATGAGTGTACAAAATCTCATAATAATATCTAAGAGTGCTGAATAGTTATGAAAGATAACTCCCTTTTTACTGTGAATTTAACCACTCTGTAGCTCGTCTAATTAACTTTACTATGCCCAGGACACATAATTGTGAGATATTCCTTGGAAAAACTCCTGTCTGCAAAAACTGCCTGTGATTTCATTTTTTTCTAGTAGGTTGTGCAAAATGTCTATCGACGAATGGATCAGAGATTCATCATCTGCAAAAGTAGGAAGTATTTCTCGTGTGAAAACTTAACGAACGATAAGATTTTCACAAAATTCTCAAACCCAAGACATGTTTTGCTAACTCAATAGCTTCGTCACTGAACTGGTTAACTCATTTCTCTTGTTTCTTCTTGGATGTATGATAAATTGATATTCAGCATACAGGACGTGAAAAGAAATTCTGAATTGGGAAAACCTTATCACGAATCTGCGATTGAGGTCTATGAAAATAACAAGTTTCCATCATTCAAGTTTGAACCCCTTGAATGAATCGATAGAGAATTGATATCTTCATCACATGGACAATGCGAATTCTCAAAGTATTCCTTTATATATATATATATATATATATATATCTATTTTCCTGTTTTCATAAATATATAAGGAGAAAAATCCTTTTCAATAAGTTAACTTCATTCTACCAGTATATCTCCTGACGAAGCTACTGTGTTAGCAAAACTTGTCGTGAAGTTTCCACATTTGCCATGGACTTTCATCAATTAACGGCCGAGTCAGTAAAAAAATAATGAGAACATTCTTCGTGTTTGGTATGATAATGAATAAATTGGTAATGTAGGCATGTATAGATGATGATTTGGTTCATATTCACTTGATATATATATGTTTGTGATTGTATAATTTCTGTAGACTAGGTGGAGTGAATAGATTGATGGGTAATGAAATGAATGAATCACAAAATGAGGTACATCCTTTCCATGATAGGGCAACCTAAATACAGCATCTTTCTACACATTTGGAACGAATCACTCAATTGATAGGAAAAAAACTCGAAGATGTTGTGTTGTGGACGTTTGTTGAAACTGTTCATCATTTCTCATGATGCACGAGGAATATCGTTTTGATTGTTCGTTCTTTCAGTTGGGTCCAGAAAATTCTAGTTCAAGCAACTTACTGGCATGATCCAATTGACCAAGAGACCTACAGAACACGAAGCACTTTCATGGCCAACATCAACAATGAAAGAACCTTGAATACAGACTATATCAAGAGACTACAGAGCCTGGACAACTTTGTCATGGTGAAATTTGAGAATGACACAATGGTTCAACCTATCGAATCTGAATGGTTCGGATTTTACAAGACAGGCCAATCAGTGGAGATCGAAAGTTTGCAAGAATCAGATTTATACGTCGATGTGAGTAAAAGCATTCAGTAGATTATGATACGAGGTTATATATTTCAATCCCCGTTCATTGGAAATGTTCGGACATACGCATGGTTGTTAATCTAGAAACATATCTCGTCGACTAATTGAGGTGTCGAAAAATTGCTATGTACCATTTCTACAGCATCGTTCAGAATTTCATGGACCGATGAGGCAACGTTCACCAGTACCGGTGAGGTAAATCTGCATAACAGCCATTACTGGGCGAAAAATATCCCACACTGGATGATTGAAATTGATCAACAACATAAATTCTCTGTCAATTTTTGGTGCGGTATCATAGAGGGCAAAATTATTACGAACATTTCCGAAAAAAATCTGAATGGAGCAAGATATTTGGACTTTTCAATGAACCACTTATCAGTTTCATTCATAGCCTTCATGATATTTCAAAAATATGCATTTATTACGCTCGTAATCTTATAAACACATTTATATTCACAACTTTTGTTAAAACAATACTAGAGACTTCTGGTTTGCGGCACTCTTTTCCGAATCTATTGCAGAATATGACATTTCATCAAAAAAATATGTCATTACATCCAAAATTACAGAGAAATAATCAATAATTGGTAACAATTACGAAAAGCGACATCTGATGGTTTGTTGAGGAATTTTCCAGAATATTTAAAATCGTATTCTTATTCTACCTTTGATTACCTATCGAACGATCGAGAGTTTCTCCAAATCGGATGAGACAAATTGAAGTTATGGTGATTTTTGTATACCGTTTTTGTTTTGTTTTTGTTGTTGTTGTTTGAAAAGTTAGAAGGAATAGTGTGATACAAAAGTATCAGGTATCGACTAGGAGATGCAGAATACATCAGAAAATATCTACGTTTGTATTCGACTTTTTCAAGAAAAAAGAGTTTTTGAATTTTCAATCTGTATTACGCCGCCTAGCGGTTATTTTAGGAACTTAAAAATATTTTAACTGTAGTGCCATAAGTTTCTGGGATGAAGCTGGTCGATAGGCTCAATGGGACACCAATATATAATCTATATATATATATTGAATATTCATTCGCATCCGGTTATTTGGCTCACATTGTATATGTTTCTCATTTGACTCCGCATATTTCTTATTTCTAATCGCCCTGTATATTTTTTGAATATTCATTCTACTCCAATTATCAGGCTCACTATGTTCTCATTTGACCCATGATGTTTTCTTCATCTTGCTATTGTATCTCATTTTGCGGATGAGTGATGCTCGGCTTGTTGTTAGATCGCTCGTCGAATTCGGGGCCGACGACCAATTTCGCTATTTTCGACCTGAAATGTTCTCATGGAGATTGACATGGAAAAAGTGATCGAACATATCGAGAACTATTTCAGCTCATCTACTCACCTGCAGTATCTGACGAAAAAGACGAATTACAAGAAATGGAGGATTTCTACAATAGGTCTAACCATAGATCTTTAACAAAGCACCGTCTGGATTTTGAACATTTCAATTCCGATTCCGACATCACACTGACATCTAGAAACAGTTGTTGAACTGAAATATATATAGGTCATATTTGGTCTGGAGACTATCGCGGGATGCCGGTTTTAATGGCTCCTCATCACAGCGACTCAACTACTGAAATGTTCCTAGACTGACTCGATCCAGCATCAAGTTTGGTCGACAGGTACGCAAAATATGCTTGGTGCAAATTGAACACGTGACGTTAATATTGCTCAACGGGAACCTTCGATTCGTTGACTCCTAACTGATACCTAACTGATAGTTGTCTATTAAAAAATCGATCCTTATGGTGAAAATGCAAAATTGCCATAAGGTAAAAAAAGTTATCCGAATATCAAACAGGCTCATTGATAACGAAGAAAAGAGTTGGTAACATATCGTTTGATTCAAGTCTTATCTGAACATTCTATTTTTGAGAAGGCTTTGAGAATATCTGATGGTATTTCGTAACATCAAATGAATATCGCTTTTATCAATCTGAAGAGGCTTGAATGAAAAATTTGCTAACAACAACGAATGTTCTTCTCCAGAGTGACTCCTGATCTGGCGCATATGGTAACATCGAGTCAATCCATATAGCACATGAGATTCTATTGGTGTGATATTTCAAGATATGGCTATATTGGGTAGTAGAGTTTTTCAATGCGTTCAGTGAGGACATCGAAAATGGGACAGTATGTTCATACTCACCATCGTTCAATTAACTCATCCAATGCCATCGAACAAAAAATTCTGATTTCATTTCGTGAGTACCAGGATAAAATAGATCTCATTTTTTCATTCCAGGATCGCCTAGGATTGCAGAAGATGGACAATGATTCGAAACTGCATTTTCTTGCTGTTGAAGGAAATCATTTGAGATTTGAGTGGCCTTGGTTTGAAGAGAACATCATTAACCGTTTCCTAAAGAACTAGTTCCAGTTAATTATTCATTACATTTCGTGTTGAATACAAGTTTCCACATCCATGATTATCAATGAAAAAATTTTCAAGAATGTCACATTTATAATTCTCAATAAAACAACTGTCATAAATGTTCTTCAATTGATTCACATTATGGTATGACAATACTGCGGAAAATTAGTACCAGGAAGTTCGATGAACAACTGACTATAGACCTATTCAGAGTGTTGACTGGCCGTTAGTGACTTCTGCATACTGCATTATTGGAGCCAATAGCTGAGAGTTTGGAGATAAGGATGGAGTAGTATGAGTTGATATATGAAAATTCTGAAATCCAGAATACAGGTTGTTATAGACATCACCAAAACTATTCCAGAGTATATCGTTTAATGAGGTTCTTCTATAATAATATGCAATTATTCAAAAAAATGTTAAGTGAATCAAAGTAGCTGCATATCAGTCTCATCATCCATATCACTAGGAATCTGATAATCATGAACATTATTATCGTCACGTATGTCCATTATTTTCAACGATTTTTTCCACACCGAGAAAACTCGGCCAAGTAAATTGTTTTCTTGAAAAAAAGTCGATTGTGACAAGAACATTTCCACCAACGGTAGGAAAATATGGTACTTGCAGTAGGCAAAACTATATTTCTGAAACGAAGTTTCTGCTGTAAGTGATCAGAACACTTGTTGGTATCAACCAAGTCGATATGTACTTAGATTTCGCTAATTCTAAGTGAACACTAAACTAGTGCTTGGTTAACGAATACTCACTATTATTGAATTATTTGTCTGTCATAAGATCACTAGCTCTGAGCGAACTCATCAATACAGGCAATCTATCAAGTCGATTTTTGGAGGTGACAGCTCACCTGTAGTTATAGATCTCTTTCCCGTTCCGACATCTCCGATATTATTCGAGTACCCACACCCAACGCGATCACTGTCCAGTGTCCATCACGAGTCCACGGCGTCATTCCGATCTTAGCATTCGTGAAGTTGGTATACTTGCGTTCCCGCTAGTAACATTGGAATTCCAAGTCATGCAAGTGCCCTTTCGAACAACTACTATATATCGCGCTCTCAGCTGTGGGGTGTTGAGTTCTTGATCTGTTCTCTTGAAGGAGATAATGAAATACAAAACTCTTCTAGAACAGTACATAATTGTTTCTACATATATGTACAGGATTTTTTTCCACTCCCTATGATAGTCGAAGTGGAAGGAAGTGACGTTTAAAAAGTATGAAAGTTGATTCATCTTCAATGCTGGGAGGAAAAAGATAGTGAACCAGAGTGCAGTGCAGTGAGTGAGAGTATCGTCTTTCTCGGTGCATGATGCTGATATACGCGGTATCTAGTATCTCAATATTTGTCGTCAGCCTTACCTTTTTTGTATTTTCTGGATTCATCATACCTAATAAAATAAAATGTTTTGAATGCATGTAATTTCGTCATCATTTTTCAGAGAATAATGGAGGTATCTAAGAATATTGTCACACCTAGTATACTGAAGGAACCATCCAATCAATTTATTGAGAAATATCCATAAGAAAATAAAAGTCCTCAGTAGATGATATCCAAAGTCATCCACATAACATATGTAATTCAAACCAGGATCAAATTTCACAGACAGGAACTTAGTGAGCTTTTCCGGCAGAATTCATCAGACTAGAAAGTTCACCTATGAGGTAATGAACTCGATAGGTACGAATATTGCTGATTCTGCTAACTCGGCAAGTATCGCCTATAAAACAATTGAAGTAAAAATTTTCCGGGGACAATCAGACTCGGAAAGAGTACGACGTTGATTACGAGTACTGTTCCTTTTTGGGTAACCACCCTAGTGAGTTAGTAGACGTCAACGCCAACCCTCTTACCCATGACACACATCTCCTCCCCTGCTGGAGCAGCAATTATTGTATGGACAATGTAAGTATATTTTGGATCAAAAAACTGTTTCATTACCTTGTACAGCCCCTGTAATTGTCTCCAATCACGTTGGTAGTTAGATCCAGAGATGTAGGATTTCACTAGAAGGTGTAGCCATAGGGTCACTTTAATTCAGTCACTTCACTTGACTTTTTTTTTCTCACTTCACCTTTTTATGTTGCTCACTTGTTCACTGTTTTTTTATCGTTCAATGAAACTCAAATTTATGTTGAACAAAACATGCACTCTTTCCTTGCCACAATCGAGTTACGATAGTGTGGTAGTTAGGACACCCTCTTGCTGCCAAGCATAACCCCCTTAGATCACGCAGCCGGGGAGGAAGGCCCCAATGGTCGTGACACATGGTGGAGGCGCCTTGTCTCGAATCCTGAGGCTCCATTCTTCATAATGGACCTATGTGAAATAGCATAGAAAAATATCAGTTTTTTCATTATTATTCATATTTTTCCTGCTCAATAACGTGGAATAGTAGATGCTCATTTTATATAATAGTTAATAAAACATTTTTTGTTTGGGAAATTAGGGAATTGAGGAACCGCGAAAGAGTGATAAAATATTATACGTTTGTACTGATATAGACGGGCTACCTATTCAACTCTCAGAGTTAATAGTTAGCAAAATTCTGTGCACACATCAAGCTGATATTTTCCACTCTCAAACACAAACTCATTTTTATATTATGCAATAGCGGTGAAAACCATGTGCTTTTGCGGGTAAAACTGCTATCAGGCTGGTGGAAACAACCATTACATAATATTCTTTTCGAAAACATATTTTGTGTTATGCGCTGATGCTGTGAACCATGTGCTTGTGCGGATAAAACTGCTATCAGGATGGTTAGCAACATCCACAGCATAATTCATTCAAGTATCATCATTGTTATTCTCGATTATTTCTCACTATGCCACGAAGGAACCGTGGTAAACATCAAAGATTGTTAATTAAGAGATTTAAACAGTCACAAAAATCGAAAATTGTTAAGAATTTAATCGTGAAAATACCCTTGTCGTTATTAACCACTTCGATTGTGAAAAATGTTGACTTTCAGACAGAGGATACAGCAGAAATTTAGAGAACTTTTTGGGGATGAGTAAACATTTTTCTTTCTTCACATTTTTTTTTCTTATATTTATTGAGCAAAACAGAAAGAAACTGAGATACAGCATCATAATTTCCTGAAATAACTTCACCTTTACTATAATATTTACAATTTTGATATGATTTGACGAAGTACAATCAACCCTAAGGAACCTAACCTAACATTAAGATAATATGATAAAGAAGAAACAATCTCAGAAGAAATACTGAGTATATTTCACCTTGTATCTTCACCTTGTATGAATAAGCCTCAATCATCATACACATTCAGATTGAAAATAGTTTCATGATTACAAAAGCATATTAAAATTGATATTTCATGAATTTTCCAAATTATTCATTCCTAATCAAGTCTAGATAATCATCATTTCATGAGCATATAATTTCTTTGACATCAATTTACATATAGAATTGTTTTCTAACTTTTTTTCTCAATCCCTGTCAAAAATGAGATATAGAAACCTATCAAAATATTGTTCATCCTATGAAAAATTGTATAATGGAGAATGTCTTAACAACGTTGAATATTTGTTTTGTGTAAATAAGAGAATCACCACTCGAACCATCTCGTACCCTAATAACCCCTCAACACTTCTCATTAATATTGATAATAATTGCCATACTCGGCAAAATCATTTTTCTTACAGAAATTTGTATAGATACGAGTGTTTAATCAATTTGAAGAACACCTTAACTCAAATAGAACAGTCATTTGAATCAGAGTCAGTCAAAAATATTGAAACTTTCTTGACAACCACGGATTCTGAAGATCTAATCTCATTCGAAGATGCCGAATCACCGGTCATATCTTCTAATGGGAAAGACCTCATTTCTTTCGAGGATGATGAATTAGTATCACCCCCATTAGAGTTAAGTGACGGTAACACCGACAAGGGTGAGGAACTGAAGTCTGCTGTCAACTTTTCTCAGGAACAATTCAAAAAAGAGGATGAAACTGATTCGAATTTGGTTCTTACTTCTACTGAGCATATCCCAATACAATGTGCCTCAGGTGGTGAGTTATCTCAGTACTCCGAATTCAATATAGGAGATGAGGTGACGGTAGTGTACATGAAGGATCATGGACCAATCATTTTGAGGTGGTTCGGGCCTTATTATATCTTGAGGAGATCGGAGAATGAAGACTTCGAGGTACAAATGGGACCCACTTATTCAGTGGTGAATGGTAGCAGGATACTACCGTACGATCACCCATGGGATCCAGATTCATTGTATTCTGACAAGGATGAGGATATTGTCAAGAAGGGCACTTTTTCGGGTGGAAAACAAATTGAATAAAACATCAAGATTTTTTAAATTTCAAATTCATATTCAATATTCTTATTATAAAATCATTTTCATGAACAAAACATTGCTACCTTCAAGTCTATAGAGAATATGGGTCAGAACCAGTAAACAATAGATATTCAATAAGTATGTCATTGCCAAAACTAGAAACGAGAACATCGTTGGATGATAATGGAATGCGAAACTGCTGATTCAGGAAGAGATAGACTTTTTTTTTATCGATTGGAGCGCACAAACGGGAATCCCTATAATGTTCAAAGAACATCGTGCGTTCCTAGGGAGGATAGGGACAGGAGGTAGGTATTGATATTTTTTTTGAATTTTTGGAGATTATATGTTGTTGGGAATACTTCCACAGGCAATGAATTCCTGAGCTGGCATGAGAATTGATAGGCAGATCTTCGGAGATAGGGATAGTTGTTAGTCCGCGAGGCGAGGGTGAGGATAGCTGCTGAGTTAGGTAGACCGCGCATCTTGAGTTTTAGTTAGTGCCTTTTTTGTCTTGCGGGTTATTTTTGACCATTAGAGCTTTCGTGTTGCCTCCACGAGAGAACTGCCGATCATGTTGGATATTTTATTGAGGTAAGATAATTTTGTGTTGTACTGGGCGTTGTTTATATTTTTGTTGCCGATTTGTTTCTCCAGGAA